CAACCTGGTGAGGCCACCAAACAGTACTACTTGCACGCCATACAGCAATAGCTGCAAGTGATCGAGCTAAGCGATCCCACGACCACCGGATCAGATCTAAGCTCTGCAGTCCTGCCAATTCCAGTCGTGAATGATGGTGGACAATTAGACAACTCACTGGGAGGAGGCTCCACAAATATCCCCATCCTCAGGTGATGCAAGAGCCCAGCACATCAGTGCAAAAAGGTAAAGCTGAAGCGCTCGCAGCAATCTTCAGCCAGAAGTGCCGAGTGGACGATCCATCTGCGCCTCCTCCAGTGGTGCCCAGCATTACAGATCAGTCTTCAACCAATTCAATCCACTCCACATGATATCAAGAAGCAGTTGGAGACACTGGATACTGCAAAGACTACGGGCCTTGACAACATTCTGTCAATAGTACTGAAGACTTGTGCTCCAGAACTTGCCGCTCCCTTAGCCAAGCTGTTCCAGTGCAGTTACAACACCGGTATCGCCCCAATGTGGAAAATTGCCCAAGTATGTCCTGTACATAACAAGCACGACAAATCCAACCTGGCAATACTGCCCCAGTCTACTGCCAATCAGTAAAGTGATGGAAGGTGTCATCAACAGTGCTATCAAGCAGCACCTGCTCAGTGGCACCCAGTTTGGGTTCTGCCAGGGCCACTCAGCTCCTGACCTCGTTACAGCCTTGGTTCAAACATGGACAAGAGAGCTGAATTACAGAACAGAGGCGAGAGAGTGACAGCCCTTGATATCAAGGCTGCATTTGACAGTGTACCAAACTGGAATCAATGGGTATCAGGGGGCAAACACTCTGGTGGTTGGAGTCCTACCTGATACACAAGAAGATGATCATGATTGTAGGAGGTCAATCATCTCAGCTCCAGAACATCTTTGCAGGAGTTCCTCAGGGTAGTGTCCTCGGTCCAACCATCTTCTCCTTGGGATATGCTTGTAATGGAAGCATTTTAAAGAGAAGGATCATTGGACTTGAAATGTTAACTGTTTTCTCTCCACAGATGCTGTCCATCTGCTGTGTTTCTCCAGCACCATTTCAGATTTCCAGCATCCACAGGTTGTGTTCAATTTAGAGGCAGCTCATTTGACCGATTCCTCAGAAAGGAAGTCTCACGGGCAACAGTCAAGTTGAAACTTGGTTCAAAAAAACCAACAAATGTATGACCTACTGAAGCATAGAAATTTGAGGGGTCTCAATAGGAGAGATGCCAAAGAAATTTCTTCATTCTGTCTTAAGGGACTTCAGTTTTTGAAGTTCTCTAGCTGAGAGATGATTTGAAGCTCTGTCATTTAACATAGTCAAGCCCAAGTTAGAGGGATTTTTGATGATCACACACAAAAAAAAGATAGATAGGAAAAAGGGGAGTCAGAGCCATAACCAAAAATCAGTCGTGTTATTATTAATTGCAGAACACTGAATGATGGTACTAATCCGGATTTTGGTCAGCACAAGGAGTCAGGTATCTTCAAATCATACAACCATTCAATTGAACCAAGCCTGTTAAGGAACAAGCATAGCATCATATTTCAATTCTGAGTCCAGTGATTTTTGTATTTCCTTTTAAACAGTTGAAGTTTCTAATTGATGGGATTCAATCCCTCAATCCAGTTGGAGACAAAATACATGACCATACTTTGCAAAAAAATTACAACAGTGGGACAAAACCAACTATAGAGCAGCAAACCTTTTCAGACACTACAGGAATTCACCAATGGTCTCTTTAGCCATTGATAAATGGTGAAAGATACAGATAGATAATGGATGGCCCCAACTCAACTGCAATAATAATAATTTTTTCCACCACAGGGCTCGAACACTTACCCTTTATCGCAATAAAAATAAGCTTTATTTCCAAAAGTGGTATCTGATACATTATAATATCCATTCAAAATCTCTCCAGGATTGCCACAGTTGATTGCTAGAGGGAGAAAGAAGAAAGTTAAAATATAATCACATTAGCCAATAGGGTTTAAAATACAATTCAGAAGAGCTTCAAGTACAAGGCTTTTCAGACAATAGATTACTGCAATTCAAGAATGCCACTGGACAAAATTTTTTAATTTGCATTGCAGAAAATGTTGTCTGATAATGCCCCAGATTTACTTAATCCAAGCCTAACAATTCTGCACTGTGTACGTTTGACCGATTAATCCAAGCTGAGGGGAAGGATCCAGTTTTTACTTCAATCAATTTGTTTCCTCCAGGCCATGGTAGAACACAATTAAAAATAAGTCTCAGGTGCATATAAAGTCTATTGCTCAAACAATATCTGAGAAAGACTTGCAAGAGAGCATGAACGGGGAAAAGTTTTCATACAGCTCACTTTACAAAAGATTGCAATGCAGTATTCGAGAAACAGGAATGAGGGGGACGGGAAGCAGGCTACTCAATGCTTCACAAATGCTTTGTCATTCAATACAAAAAAAAGTGATGGCTGATCCTCTCAATGCTATAATTCTGCTTTCTTCCCTGGATACCTTTAAAATCAAAACATTGAAAGCCAACAATTGTCTTCCACAACCTTCTCCTGTAGAGAATTCCACAGGCTCACTACATCTCAGGACAAGATGAATTCAGCATTTCCAACCACAATTCAAATTAGACAACTGTAAAGAGCAGAAGTTCGAATGCTGAGAATACAAAAGCCAGAAGAGTTATTGGTTTTCTACAACTAAACATGACTGCCATTGAGCCATCACCCACACTAGTCCCCTTCAACAGACTGCTCAGCTCACGAGCAATCGTAATTGGATGAATTGCTTGGTCCACATTTTGACCTCCACATGGCATCAGCAGGAACAAGGAATCTACTTGCATCACCAACTCAACATTCCCAAATCATGGGAGAACCTAAAGTTGTTCAGTTTCCTAAAAAAGTTAACCTTAGCAAAAATTAAAAAAAAAGTGTGCCTTAGAGTCATACAGCACAACATGCTGGACTTAATATTGCTATTGACTACAGAATCTGCAAGTTGACAAATATCTTGAATCAGCCAGAAATGTTTAGTACACAGCACCAATCCATCACATGTCGAATTGCACACAATTGCAGGGGCACTAGAAATACAGCAACAGACAATGGCACAGACTTTCCTCTCCAAAATCATAACGATAAAGGGAATCACCAGTTTTGCTATACCACAAACAGTCCCACAATGGTCGTCATCTAGATTTTTCTCAAATCAACCTGTTCACAAATGTGATTTTGAATAGACAGGCACCACATTCTGCAACCAGGTCACATGATTGGAGAGTTCAGACTTTAATGCCAGCAGTTCCAATCTACCTACATTTTAAAACAGAAAACCAGCTTTCCCAATCTCAGTTGCAGCATGCCTCTAATGTCAATCTCTTGTACTATTATTCATTGGGAAAGAAAGTGAATAATTCTTAATACACAGGAATCAAATTCTTATACCTTGAAAAACACCCAACTGCATCCTAGCTTCTAGAAACTGCATAATGCAAGAATAGCCAACATGGATTGGACATAGGACTTGCTGGATTCCAATTCATGTGAATTTGCAGCCATACATTTCCCCTCAAAGAAGTTCCCAATTCACACTTTCCCTATTGCTTGCATGGGTATTGTTGGGAAAAAAAAAAATACAAAAAAAATGTTGGATTTGAAAGCGAGTAAACTAAGCTTTGGTTTTCACCCCAACGACTGGTGAGTCACAAGAAAAAAGTGGACTTCACTCAGAACAAAAAAGGCAAGGTGGAAGAAAAGGGAAAACCATTAAGTTTAAAAATTATCTTTGCCTCCAGAGAGAAGAGTGGGAGAGAGACATTTCTATTCACCTTCCTGCTTGCTGGAGGTGGTTTCTTTTGCAAGCAAGATATGCCTCAGGTGATGCCTGCCCCTACAGCCTCAGGCACAGCTGCAGGCATCTGATCAGTCTTCCGGGGATTCAACACAAGGAAAGTGACAGGCCCGGATGGTTTCCCCAGCCATTCATTCAGATCCTGTTAAGGCCAACCGGCAGGAGGTATCCATCTTCAATCTGTCCCTCCTTTCAGCCACCTGCTTCAAGACCATCATTCCCATACCTAAGAAAGCACATGAAGGGCTTCAAGAGGCTGGTCACGGCCCATATCAACTCCAATCTCCCACCCTGCCCATCAACATAATTGGGTCCACAACTGATGCCATATTCCTAGCCCGGCACTCATCCCTGGATCATCTGGACAAAGACAACTATGTCAGACTCCTGCTCTGACTGTAGTTCCACGTTCAACACCATTATCTCCCCCAGACGGATCTCAAAATTCTGTGACCTTGGTCTCGGCCCCACCCTCTGCAACTGGATCCTCACCTTTGCAGCATATGGGTCAGAATCAGTGACGATAGGTAACTGCACCTCCTCTACAATAACAACACTGTAGCCGCACCAAGGAGTCGTCCTCAGCCCCCTACCTTACTCCCTGTACACTCACAACTGTTGCGAAATTCCAAACAAACACCATCTACAGAGTTTGCTGATGACACCACCAGTGGGATGGATATCCAACAACAATGTCAAAATACAGATGGAACATAGAGGGCTTGGTGACATGGTGCAACAAAAAAAAAAACCCCTCTCTCTCAACAGCAGAAGAAACTAAAGAACTGATCATTGACTTCAAAGAAAGGAGGAGGAGTGCACCCCCATCTACAAATCTAACGGAACCGAAGAAGTTGACAGGGTGGAGAGCACCAAGTTCCAAGTTCCTCGGAGTGATGATAACCAACTACCTTTCCTGGACTGCCCATGTAGATGCAGTCAAGGTGGCACAACAACACTTCAGGAAATGTGAAGCACTTGCCATCACGCAACTCCCACACAAAGAACAATTATTTGTGACATGTCCCTATTTAAAACATACTCCAGAACAAGTCGTCATTTCTTACAAGAAAGAACTGCCAAAATGCAGTGACAAAGCTAATGGAAGGAGAAAATAAAATTGCTCATTACTTACGTTCACAGACAGCATGAAGGGGAGACCAAGTTCCATCTTTCCTGCAGGTAATACGTTTTGAACCTCCTTCCTGAAATGCATATCCTGTATCACACCTATAAGTAATATTTGTGCCCACAGGAAAGGTAGTCGGAGAATTAACTGCTGAGCCATTTTTCAGAACAGGAGGTTTTCCACAGTCACCTTCAAAAAGGGAAAAATAAGAAACAGCTTTTAAAAATTCAACAAGTCTTCCTTTTAGTGACTCATCTGACTTTTCCAGTGCACTAATGTAGAAGATCACCCTCAAAATATGCTAAGAGTTTCAGATCTTTTCACGTTGTACATCAATTTTCTCCCCAGTCTCAAGTTTGTGGATTTCAAGTTTGGCCACCTTTGTAAGAGAACCCCTCGAGAAAGAAACCAATTCAAATCCAAATCAAGAACCAAAAATCATAAGGATTGTGACTGTCCAATGGAAGTGCTTTAATAGCAAACTTTAAAAACTTGATTTTAAAGAGCAACAAAACACAAAACCCAAGGGTTTTGCAGGTATTCACAGGGAATAAAACAGACAGGATAATTCTAACATTACATAGAAAGAGAACAAGGTGTTGAGGCAACAATTAACATGGAGTACAGCCTCAGGCCAGTTAGTTGGCTAATTTAATCTGATCTAGTCATCTGCACATGGAGCAAGGTGTTTATCTAAACTTAGCAAATCCCCATAAATACATAGAAATTTTGGTCCAATGTGATCAAGACCTGACTGAACTTTAAACTAGAAAGTAGGACCAGAAGGCCAGAATGTCTTTTCTCAGAGCACTCGCTCGGAAAGACTTTGAGGCTTCCAGTGGAACTGGCAGTTTTCAAAATTGTGAAAAATCAAAAAAAAAACAAAGTTTCTTACTGACACTAGGAGTAGGAGTAGAAGAAATGCTTCATTGGATGACGCAATGAAAGTTAGGCAGAAGCATGGGATCTTTCTCTTCCTAGTCATGTGCTTGCAAAACCCCCAGTGCAGTTCAATCTTTTTTTGTATAGAGCTGGATGAACACAGCAGGCCTAGACCCTTCTTCAGGAAGAAAGGTTTTTCTGAAGGAGGGTCAAGGCGCGAAACGTCAGCCTTCCTGCTCCTCTGATACCGCTTGGCCTGCTGTGTTCATCCAGCTCTACACCTTGCTGTCTCAGATTCTCCAGCATCTGCAGTTCCTACTATCTGAAGTCTTTTTTTGGTTCTTGGCCAGCTGCAGCCTGCCACTCACTCAGTTTGCTCAGTCCTAAGGGTGAGCTATTACTTAGTGACGACTAGTAATAATTGCTCCATCTTCCTTATGATCAGTTCCAAGATCAAATTCACTCACATGCAACCTAAATATTGACAGAGGTAGTCGTCATTAGGTAGGAAGAATGGAAGTGTACGGCTTTGCACTTCACTCTCCAATTCGATCTCGATTTCTTCCTTCAAGATTTATTCCAAGCAGAAAATTCTGACTTGGAAAACTATGTTGAAGGAATTGGCAAACTGCAGGGTCAAAAACGCTCACTCTTCTGAACAAAATTTGGGGCTACTTACAGGCTTTCAGGGCAACTAGAGATGGGCAGTAAATGCTGACCCAGACAGGGACGCTCACATCACATGAATAACTAAATAGAAAGTTCCATGGGGCAGTGACAGAAAAATGTAAAGAGGCAACTTCTGCAGTGCCTTTAAATCATTCTTTGAGGAGTGACAACAAAGCATATCCCCAAATGCTTATTCATTCTGGAACAGAAGTGGGTCTCAAGTCATATTCCTATTCATATTTCCATAGAAACATTCCAATGCCACAAGGCACTTACAAGTTTCTTAGATCAACTTGGTTAATTATGCAGAAAGTGGGGATGTTCTGACCATTCGGATAGGAAAATTGCCAGACAACTAATCTAACTGCCGTAGGAAAAGTTTGGTAAACCAAAACAGTGATCAATGTTTTAACCAAACAGTTTTTACAAATGTATAGTCTAAAAACAATAAACCCAGAGGATTGGTTTTAAATAGATTGGAGGAAAGCTTCCAAGATTTTTCTGGTTCATTGTCAAACTCACAAAGCGCTTACTCACGTTCACAGGTCGGTGGAGGAGGTACAAATGTGTTATTTTCACGACATTCAATGACACTTCCGCCAAACATTTTAAAACCTTTGTTGCATCCATAAGTGATAGTGTCCAGATACGTGTACGTTTTCTTAAAGCCTGCCACCATTTTTCCATTTGCAGGCACTTTAGGACGATTACATCGCACAACTGTCGAATCAAAAGAGCAAAGTGAGTTTGAGGATCTTCTGTACCTATGATGTTAAAACGTGTTTTTTTTGTGGAGGGTGGGAAAGAAAGAAGGAAAGAGTCAAAAGGAGGAGGAGGAGTGTTACCCTCTGTCGTCAAGAGACAAGACAATAAATAGCGATTCTTGAAGTCAAAATCATGCAGATCAGCACAAGATGCACATTGATGCTTAATCTTGCACAGCAGCTTTGCCTTGTTCAGCTTATTTTACACAAATCAGAACCTCCAATATTTACAGCCATTTACTTGGTTGTCTTAAGGTTCATCTCATTTCAGATCCCAAACTAATGCACATGTCAGCTGTGAAGTGGAGAGCTTTCCCTTCCTCGTTTCTGAATTGCAAGACAAACTTCTGATCCGTCCACAACTCATTCTTTAAAATATGTAATGGTTCTCACTGCTCTACTTGCAATGCGGAAAAAATATGTCCAAGTACAGTGTATGCAACATAGTAACTCAACACAGCAAATCTCAGCAAGAGAATCAGCTGGTAGCTTTCCACATTCATGTGATAACTAACATCTTAAAACATTTGCCAAATCATGCAAGTTTCACTCTTGAAATCTCCTTCAAACAGTGAGGTCATGAAGAAAAAACAAACAAACTTGCAAAGTGTTTGAACAATCTAAACTGAGCTAAGAACTGCAGTAAATTCATACACTTCAATAAGGGATTATGCTCAAATACAGTGTACGCAAATTTGATTCCTGAAACTTTTCAATAACTGGATTCCGAGGAACCTAAAATTAGAAGCATCTGCCTCAGGGAATGCAGACAGGTCTATTTTAAAATAGAGCAAACTGCGACAATATTGGAGGGTGGTCTAACTGCTGCATTGTAAAACCCTGGTCTAAAGCTCGGATGCATTTTGAGGCATACATACCAATAAGTCATTTACCTTCCATTTTGGCAACATCAACAGATCAAACACCGCAAATCTCCATAAGCAAATCTTGTGTACATATTCAGGTTTTAAGGATAAAGCGAGAATAGGATGAAGAGAGCCATAACATGTCATAACCATTCTAGATTTAATCAAAAAAACAGTACAAATTGCCTGTGTTTTCAGTGATAACTAGACTTGAATATTTCATTGAATCAAGGGATTCAAAAGCAGCAGTGGTTAGTATTGCTGCCTCAGTGCCAGGGACCAGAGTTCAATTCCAGCCTTGGGCAACTGTACGGAGTGTACGTGTTCTGTCTGGATGCATTTCCTCTAGGTGCTCCGGCTTCCTGTCAGAAGTCGAAGTCGTGCAGATTAGGTAGATTGGCCTGCTAAACATGGAGGTGGATCTGGGTGGGATGTTCTTTGCAGGGTCAGTGTAGACTCAACAGGCCAAATGCCCTCCTTCTGCACTGTTGGGTTTCTACTATTTATAAAACAGCTCATTCTCTCCTCCTCAAATGACCCCCAACACCCATACTTAATTCAATTCTTTTGTTTACTGCTTACTTAATCTCATTGACTTCTGACTTACAGACAGAATGTGTCGAGTCAGGTGCAATCAGTATAAATATGGATTGTCTAAAGGTTACAGTAGATTTGTAGCTCGGATTGTGGAAGTTGTGGTTGGTTGGCTCGCTGAGCTGGTTCATTATTCTGCAGATGTTTCATTGGGTAACATCAATGCAGCCTCCGATAGTGTGCTGTGGTGTTTTCTCACCTGGTATTTCAACTCAGATGTCCCTTGAGCTGGATTACCTCACTTCCAGTTTCCCTTCACAGTGGGGTGTATATATAGGGTCTACCTCCGTTTGTTGATGGCCTTCTTAGAAGAGAACCAGGCTTCTAGGAACTCCCGTGCTGGTCTCTGCTTTGCTGGTCCCAGGATCCTGGTGTTGTCCCACTTGAACTGGTGGTCTTCCTCATCCATGTGGATGCAGGTGAGGGAGTATTGGTCGTGTCTTTTTGTTGCCAGTTGATGTTTGTGTACTGTTGTGGCTAATTTCCTTCCTGTCTAATGTTTGTCACAGTCTATGCAGGGAATCTTGTATACGACATTGGTTTTGTCCATCGTGGATGGCGGGTCTTTGGTTTGGGTTAGCAGTTGGCATAGGGTTGATGTGGGTTTGTGTGCTACAAAAAGCAGAGTACCTCTTTCAAAGTATTCAAAAGACGACAGATACCTGAAAAACTAGGTCAGAAGATGCCTATTACACAAACACCAGGAAGATACTGCACACCCAGACACACTCACTACCTTACATCAAGAACACATTTGAACTGACAAGACTCCCATGACCACTGGGCATCAGAGTAGCACACAAACCCAGACCAACTGCTACCCTGAACCAAAGGCCCACTATGGACAGGACCAATGTCATATGCAAGATTCCCTGCATAGACTGCGATGAACATTACATTTGACAAAATCAGTACACAAACATCAACTAGCAACAAAAAAGACACGACCAATACTCAGTCATGTCCATCCACATAGATAAGGAAAACCACCAGCTCAAGTGGGATAACACCAGGATCCTGGGACAGGCGAAGCAGAGAAGAGCACAGAAACTCCCAGAAGCCTGGTTCTCCACGAAGGCCATCAAACACAGAGCGAGACTCTATATATACACACACTCCACTGTGAAGGGAAACCAGAAGGGAGGTAACCCAGCTCAACAGACACCAAAGTTTAAATGACAGGCGGGAAAACACAACAGCGCTTCAAACCAGAGGCTGCACTGAAGTTACCCAGCAGAGTAATGAAATGTCTCTGGAACAACAAACCAGCTTGGCAAGCCAACCAACTACAACAAACATGGATACTGTCATCAGATGCTGCCAAAGATGAACAGGTAGATGCGATGTTGAAGGGGCCAACAACAGATCCTTACTTGGTACTGGAACAGTGATAGTCCAGGAAGGGAGGCAATTCAATTGCCTCCAAGTGCAGTTAGTAACAATTGTGGAAACAGCACAATGTTGTACCACTTAGCTGGACAAGGAGCATTGCATTCAAGGGAGGATGTTGCAGTTAACTGTGTTCGTGGCTAAATATAGATCAGGACATATATCCTGGGATGATTAAATTGTGGAAAGTGAACACATTCCACTTGTTATAGAGTAAGGAATCTATCAATCAATGCTTTCAGCTATTTCCCCCCCCATCAACACCACTATGCTAATGCAACAGTCAATGTGACATAAATGGCAAGAGACTTGGTCCATACTGGAGGAGTGGGTTGGAAGGAAGTTACACTGGACAGGAAACACCATACCTTGATCAAAGTAGAAAATGGAATGCCCAATTAGTAGCACTGTGAATTGTGTATGCGATAATCCTGGCTCCACCTGAGCGCTGCGGTGGGCAGAGGGATTGTTTGTGGGAATGCTTATCATGAACAAGAAAAACCACTACCAGGGATTGTATTTTTAGAAACAACCACAGCATTACTAGTAATGTAGCGAGTGATTACACCAGAATCTGCTTGCACAGCTAGACAATCAAATCCCATTATGTACAAGCTTGGATTGCAGTCATTTTTCCCTAAAAAATTCTGAAGTATAATTCTGTACCTTGACATCTTGGTGGATCCTTATCCCATTGCCCAGTCACTGTACAGGTGATGGTTTCTTCACCAATTAGTGAATAATTCCCAAGACATGAATATCTTGCTATACTTCCATATGGCCAGGAGTCACTGTCAGATGATGAAACTGTCCCATTAGCAATATGTGGAGGATCAGGACACTGGACAACTAGGGAAGAGTGAAGTTAGAAGACTGTCAAATAAATGCCTCATGACAAAGCATACTGCCTGACTGATACAAACTGTTATTCCCACTCTCTACCCCACCTCTGCTGACTTAACAGCCAAACAAGCAGTTTTTAGGCACATCAGACATACGGCACACTGGCAGCAGGATTGGGAGGAGTCAGAAACACCAGCTGTTTTTGGGGATGCTATTTTAAAATCAGAGTTGGAGATTATTAGATACAAGTCAATTGCATTCTGCTCAATCATAAACAGGACAATCAAAACAAATCTCAGGTGAAAGCTTATGCAACATTTTAGAATAATCAAAGTTAACAGCTAAGATAGACTAACACATAACAACAATTCCTAATATTAACTGCAAGATATCTTGCAGTTATTCTATTGCCCAACACTGTCCATTTTCACCATTCTTGCCCAATTTAAATCAATTTAGCAATCTCAATACTAGTATAAAAATTTGTTGTTCAGAGATAAAATATCATGCTTAAAGATAATTTGAATGAGTGTTTAACAAAACTCAAGTTGACCAAAAAAAATTGCAAGTCTAGCCAATGCTCACTTTTGCTTGCAACCTCAAATTCTACAGCACAACTCCACAGCAGTGATAACAAGGTGCAGGGCTGGATGAACACAGCAGGCCAAGCAGTATCATAATGTCAGCCTTTCTGCTCCTATGATACTGCTTGGCCTGCTGTGTTCATCCAGCCCTGCACCTTGTTGTCTCGGATTCTCCAGCATCTGGAGTTCCTACTATCTCAGATCCACAGCAGTGACGTTTTGTCGGTGGCTTAGGACGGAATTCAGAGACAGCTTTTGTACATTAAAATGCATCAGGTTTCATGTGTAGCTTCTAAATTCGAGAGGCATAGTTCACTAATTGCCAGCACAGTAGCATTAATGCTAGTATGCTCTTTTAATATTGGAAAAAAATGTTGTTTCTTGTACCACACAAATTATCTTGGACATTCATGATCAAGATTGCTTCCTTACTTTTCCCTCTTGCTGAAGGAAGTCCATGATAGAAACTAAGTGACCGCTCAAAAGTAGCAGCTTGATTCATGGAATGGAAACCAGCCTGAAGGGTCTAGGCCCGAAATGTCAGCCTTCCTGCTCCTCTGATGCTGCTTGGCCTGCTGCGTTCATCCAGCTCTACACCTTGTTACCCCCAGTCATTACACGTCACAGGTTTATACAGTGACAAATCAAGAGTCATGCTTTTCCTAGCTATGCTGGAGTTTATTTAAAAAAGCTAATGCTAACATCTAGTCAATTTTCCATCTATGGTATTTGCTTAGTATTATTCAATTATTTGGTGCAGAAAAACCAAAGCAACCATCCTGCAATTTTAAGCTACTAACTTACTTTCACATGTTGGAACCTGTCCATCCCAGCCCCTAATTGTACAAGTTCGGTAGTTCTTTCCAACAATGCGGAATCTAGAAGGGGAGGTTAAAAAAAAGTGTTAAAAATGTGATGCACACCAAGAAGCAAAAAAGCTGAAGGATTGCTTAGTTCAAAGTCAATAAAACAGGCTTTACTATTTGAGGGAAATCAGTGATAGGACAAAGTAAAAACCAAAGTTTGGTGTTACTATGCAACAGGGCCTTCAGCCATGCTCATTTCCCCTCTAGCATCCTGCACTTGTTGGCCTCACTACTCCTTCAGTCAATTTGTTTGAAACAGCATGTCAGCTATCTCAATATCTCATGTGGCGCTGTCCTCAATAGACAGAATGCTGATAAACATCCTGTGGTGCTTGACATGAGAAAGGTTATGATGTTGATTTAGAGGTTTAAAAAAAGTTAGGCAAAAAGCGATGTGAATGGATAAGCAGGCCTAATGCAAGAGAACCAGTAGGAGGTAACATGAAAGCCATTTGATAAAAGATACCACAAAAGAAAGTTTGCTGCCAAGAGAAAAGGAGTTGCACCTGTATGCAGACTACATACACAAGTGTCAACTATAGGTAATGAATTGACTAATATGGGAAACAGTTGGGATTAAAAAACCTTTACTTGCAAACTGTAACCAGGGTACACTGAATATCAGCATAGTCACCTCAACAGTTAACAACCTTGGTTAATAACTTGGATGAAAGGAAGGATTTTTTCCACCAAAATTGAGTTATGATGCATTTCAATGAGGATTATATGAAACGTCTGCACTGGAATAAGTTAGGTTAATGACCGCTATCGTGTTGCGTGGCACTACTATCACCATGCTAAAATGGGACAGACTTCGCAGATCTAGCAACTCAAGACTGGACATCCATGAGGCACTATGGGCCATCAACAGCAGAATTGTTCTCCATCACAATCTGTAACCTCATGGCCCGGCATGTCCCGCACTCAACCATTACCATTGAGCCAGGGAATCAACCCTAGTTCAATGCAGAGTGCAGGAGGGCATGCGACAAGCAGCACCAGGCACAGCTGAAGATGAGCTATCAACCTGGTGAGGCCACCAAACAGTACTACTTGCACGCCATACAGCAATAGCTGCAAGTGATCGAGCTAAGCGATCCCACGACCACCGGATCAGATCTAAGCTCTGCAGTCCTGCCAATTCCAGTCGTGAATGATGGTGGACAATTAGACAACTCACTGGGAGGAGGCTCCACAAATATCCCCATCCTCAGGTGATGCAAGAGCCCAGCACATCAGTGCAAAAAGGTAAAGCTGAAGCGCTCGCAGCAATCTTCAGCCAGAAGTGCCGAGTGGACGATCCATCTGCGCCTCCTCCAGTGGTGCCCAGCATTACAGATCAGTCTTCAACCAATTCAATCCACTCCACATGATATCAAGAAGCAGTTGGAGACACTGGATACTGCAAAGACTACGGGCCTTGACAACATTCTGTCAATAGTACTGAAGACTTGTGCTCCAGAACTTGCCGCTCCCTTAGCCAAGCTGTTCCAGTGCAGTTACAACACCGGTATCGCCCCAATGTGGAAAATTGCCCAAGTATGTCCTGTACATAACAAGCACGACAAATCCAACCTGGCAATACTGCCCCAGTCTACTGCCAATCAGTAAAGTGATGGAAGGTGTCATCAACAGTGCTATCAAGCAGCACCTGCTCAGTGGCACCCAGTTTGGGTTCTGCCAGGGCCACTCAGCTCCTGACCTCGTTACAGCCTTGGTTCAAACATGGACAAGAGAGCTGAATTACAGAACAGAGGCGAGAGAGTGACAGCCCTTGATATCAAGGCTGCATTTGACAGTGTACCAAACTGGAATCAATGGGTATCAGGGGGCAAACACTCTGGTGGTTGGAGTCCTACCTGATACACAAGAAGATGATCATGATTGTAGGAGGTCAATCATCTCAGCTCCAGAACATCTTTGCAGGAGTTCCTCAGGGTAGTGTCCTCGGTCCAACCATCTTCTCCTTGGGATATGCTTGTAATGGAAGCATTTTAAAGAGAAGGATCATTGGACTTGAAATGTT